TATTTCATTCCCAGTTCCTTGTGGGAGTTGAACCTGACAGGATGTTCTTCGAAGTCAACAGGGTCCACGTCATCACTGTGACTCGTGCTTTTGAAATATGCTGGTGTTGGTGGGACTGAGTCGATCTGAATCGAATAGGTTCGAATTCGATTTGATTTAGAGTGTGGGTTAATGTATTCCTCGACATCATAATGGGGTCTCGTTTTAGAGTCTGGGTTAATGAGACAGTTAATGGGGGTTCTCGTTTTGCAGGAGAGACGTTAGGGCTTAGGTCCAAAGTGTGCCGTGGCATTAAATGTCAATGATGTCATCGCAGCCTTGAGATTTCAAAAAGAGACTGGCTATTTATTTGCTGCTAGTTTCGTCACGCCTGCCTGGTATCCATCTCTAAGTAATTGTCAAGCTGCAAACGATAATTGCTCCAGAAAATCCTTCTGCCAAACAATGAATCGACTCTGCGAGCCATTCTGTGCAGTTTTCAGGTGCTTTTGGCAGAAAAAAAGTCATCTGCCAGAGACAAACACCCTCCCGGCAGAAAAAAAACACCTCCCGGCAGAAAAAAACACCTCCTGGCAGAAAAAGCCATGCCGGCTTTCGGAACTGCAGAGTTCGAGGGCTTCTGCAGAGTGCACGCCAGCCTGCTTCAGGAAAAAAAGTGTTTCTGCGGACTCAAAAAGGGCGTTTCTGCAGAGTTTTTCATTCCCAGTGTCAGTGCACGTCGAATAAGTACCGAAACTGCACGGACGTTTTGATTGGCTAATCAGCTTCCGAGAAATGTTCTTCAGCGTTCCGAAAAAGGCTGAATCCGGTACAGGATGGAGACTCGTGACACTCAAAACTGCACAGGCAACTGCAAAGAGATATACCCCGTACACTGCAATAAGCCACAGACTTCGCTGTAAGAGGATGAAAGGGATATGCCCGTATCTACGAGAGATATGCCTTGAATGCTGTAATAAACAGTGGTGACTGTGCACGACGTCTCAGTTGCCAAAAGACCTTGAAAGCAATAAGTCTCGTGTTTACTCGGAGACTCCAGGTGTCCGTTCACGGGACCAGTGCTTCTTCTTTCGAGTGAATTGTTTGCGGTGAAGGACTCCTCGAAACCATGAGGTTGTTGTTGTCAAGATGATGGTGGATATCTAGGTCCTTTCGACAATGGTACTGGTGTTGGTCCTGTAGTTGGAATGGTGGGTGGTCAACAAAGAGGTTCCTGTCACTGTGGTGAGTGTTGGAAGTATCAAAATCAACCAGGGGGTTGTTGAGTTTGGACTGCAAAAGTAGGCTTTGAAATCCACTCCAAATTCCAATGAAGACAACTGTATCTGTAGTGTAGCACTGATTGTTGTAATGCGGAGAGCTCCTTGTCGGCCTGGAGACTCTCCTTCCCTTAAAACTGCCTGAATTCTATGCGTTCTGTTAATCCAATAAGTTTCTTGAAGGTTCAGTTCCAGTACTCAAGTAGTGGACTGGACCTCGCTGAAACCCTTCCTCAGGTACAGCGGTAGTCAGGCAGTTCAGGGAGCCTTGTCGTGCCTCAGGAGTGTTCCAACACCTCCAGTAGGCACCAAACCAAGGACTTGGTCCTGTCAGTCAGACAGGAGGGCCAGCAGAGCTCTCTGCTGGGCCCTTTTGGGCCAGCTCTCCTCAGGAGCTGGGGGCCTTCGTTATTCAATCGTGCAGTGGCAGTCTGGGAACAGTACTATCTGCTACCTCCTACTGCTTCTGCCCGGCCTCAACAGGATTGGTATCAACTGCTGCGGTATCAAAGGGGCTACAAGCTAATCAGGATCGGTCTCAATCTTTCGTACTATTTTCTTAACTATGGTAGAAAGGACGATCCTTTCTTGCTGCTTTGCTGGAGATAAGCCAGCTGTGGGTGCTGGAGCTGTAGGCCAGCATAGCTGTTGGAGCTATCTCTGATTGGATCCAGAGCTCTCACTCCTAAAAGTCATCGCCCAACACAGCAAAATCTCGACCAAATCGGCCCATTCATTGCAATCTTGTGCTGTCATCTTCTTTTCATCAACAATCAGCTGCCTCCCGTGTGTTGATCGAAGAATCATGGTCATGGCAAGCAACACACCCCGGTACTCTTTTGCAGTGATCCTGCCCTCACGGATCCCATCTGTACAGTTGTACAATGGCATGTCTGATTCACATTGTCGGGCAAAATGTGTGCCACCAAACAGCTGCGCCAGGTTGTCAATTTCTTGAGCACAATGTGAATCAGGACCAACTTGCTCATAAAGCACATCACGAACGTAGGCAAAAAGACCGAGGAGGACCTGATGGAGCAATTCTGATGGAGTAGCACCGTGTATTCCTCTAGTGCTAATGGGACTGAATCGAAGTTTGTAGGTACAATTTTGGATGCAATGCTGTGAAATCTTCTTCAAAGCGTCAAGATCTTGAAGATCACACAATGGTTTTAACTGTGACACAGTCTTCCACGGAAACCGAGCTTCTGGATTGTCACTCTCTTCGTTCGGACAGTGGCAGTACCGGCACAAATGCTTCACACCCTTTCCATAGTTGTTGTAGGCACCACAAAGGGTATCGGCCTCTTTGTTGTCACATTTCACAAAGGCGATATAGGGGACAAACTCCAGATCCTTCCAAGTCCTGCCCTTATATCGCAAATCCCAGTGAAACCACGCTTCTGAACATCAACCAAACTCTCTAGAATCACATCCAACATGGCATGAAAATCAGCTGGCTTGCCTTGATCATCAGCCACCTTTTTGCTTTCTTCCTCGTCGTCGTCATCTTCTTCCAATGTCGTACTACTACTACTACTAGTAGCTTGCTGGGCAGCAACATGACCTGATTGCTTCAGAATTTTCCCCCCCTTGGCCTTTGCTTTCTTGACGGAGGCAACAAAACCCAACACTCTCCAGGCCTGGTCTTGATCTCTGTACTTCCGTGTGTGAATACCAAGAGCCATCTTAACAGCAGTGACAGGCATGCTCTTCATTGCTCCAGTGTCGGCACCATCAATGTACAATACAATCGGTAGAACAACACGTTTCTTGATTCCTTTCTTGTAGGTCTTGTGCAATACACGGCTCTTAGCCTTATTCGCGACTCGATCCTAGATAGGGTTTGAGTTCGACTCATGACGTAGTCCTTTGCGAATAGTCATTGAGACAGGGTTCTCATGACCGCTAGTCATACTAGGTCGATGGTGAAACATCGCGCTAGATATTTAGCTGGCGTGGAGAGATTCCACACTACTAGATAAATGCTAGACGAATCTTCCACGCGTTCCGTTTTTGGATCGTGGAGTGAGTAGGATTGCTACCACAACCTACTCTATCACACTTTACAGTCTCCCGCGGGAGTTCAGATCTACGATCCTTTGATTGTGGATCTCTCTCGTTGATTAGTTTTCATAGCTTTCTAATCTCTCTCATAACTTTCATTCTCTCAAACTCAAAACACTCGAAAGATCTTTACACTAGCTTTTAGCGTAGTGCATTTTGTTAACAAACACAATAGCTTTCAGCTACCCTCAACCTATTCCTCACCATGAAGATTGCCAAAGACGCGTACACCAGCTTCGAGTCTAAGCTGCGCGACAAACCAATCCTTCCTCTCATCGACCTCGACGATGAATGCGAAATCGACGATTCTCGCATTACCACCTACAAACTTCGCACTGTTCCAGCAGATGCTAACAGCGCCAAGTACACCTTCAAGGTCCAAATCATCAATGGATCTGAGACTCCACGTCAAACCATCAAGTGGGCTGGACGTATGGAGAAGGTCTTCGTTGGGCTCGCCATTGCTACAACTGACGACAAACATAACCTCCTCAAGGAGATGACTTCTAGAGCAGTTACGAATCTAGCTGTGCAGGCCATCGTGAAATACGTTGGAATGCCTTGCGCCAGATTGCAGTCAACGCGATTGCTCCACGCGACATACGTGGTGGTGAAGACGAAGCCGCTTTCCAAGCGCGTTTCCAGGCTGCCTGGAACGGAGCAGCTCAGCCTGCTTTGGACGACACTGACATTACGTTTGGCATAAATGCCTGTGTCGAAGCGGTCTGTCCCTACAAGGCTCTTGAAAAGCAGAAACGCTTCATGCGCCGCAAGATGCGTAAGCCTGCTGATATGACTACTCGGGCTTATGTCAACAACCTCACTCGGATGAACACCGATGAGCTTCCACGTTTGCCACCTTTCGGTGTCAATCAACAGTTGAACCAGGACGAATTCATCGACATCATCTGTCATGGCATTCCTCGTTCCTGGATGCGCAAGATGGATGAACACGACTTCGATCCTTTCACTGCCGAGATGACAGCGCTCATTGGATTCTGTGAGCGCATGGAATCCGCTGAAGACTTTGACAAAGGCAGTGATGCCAAGCAAGCTTCTTCGAAGAAGAACACCAGCAAGAAGTACAAGTCTACTCGCAACAACGACCATTCTTCCAAGAGCGAAGAAAAGTGGTGTGATTACCACGAGTCCAGCACTCACAATACTGCTGATTGCATGACTCTGAAGAAACTCAAAGCCAAGTCCTCGTCTGACAACTATAGCAAGCCAGCGTACAACAAGAACAAGACTTGGAAACGCAAGTCTGACGACGCCAAGTCCTACACCAAGAAGAACTCTCTGTCCTTATGAAGAAAGTCTCCAACGCTGCGGTCAAGGCTGATCGAAGAAGAAAAGCGAATGCAACCATGTTGCCAAGCCAAGTCAGACGACTCCGACAACGAGGACAACTCCTCTGTTGGATCCATCAATGATGGAAAAGAAAATGGCTGCCGTTGACAGGCGCTTGCCGAATTCGACTTCAATCATTCGGATGGAGAGATCTCCGTCGAGGATTAGGCCAGGATGATGATTCAACGGAACATGTTCCGATTTCTCATACCTAAGTGATGAAGATATCTCACTAACTAGTAAACAAGAATTGTTTGCAACTGATGAAGTCTACGGCAAATTAGATAATTGCCTAGAAACTGCTCAACTAGATTCTGACGATCTATCCAGCATTGTTAACCTCGTCCGTGGCCAACCACCTCGTCAACATCGCACGACAAGAGACCTCAAAACTATCGTCTATGTTAGATTTAACAGATTTAACAGACGAGAAAAAGGGAAACAAAAACCCGTTACACTCCGTTGCTTACTGGATACAGAAGCATCCGGAACCTTGATTACCCAAATTCATGCTAAGAGATTAAGCATGAAGGATCATGGGGGCATCCAAACACTATGGACTACCCCTGTAAAGGAATTAAACCCCAGCACGAAGTGTAAGGGTGCACTTATGACTCCTGAGTTCCACGATGATAGAATTATCGAATGGAACTTGCACGCCACCAAGAACTTGGGGGCGTATGACATGATCATAGGTCGAGACATTCTCTCCGATCTAAGAATCAAGTTCGACTTTACTACCATGTTAAGGCAGATATGCCAGAGTCAAAACCAGGTAAATACGGAAGAGCAGGAACCGCTTCATGCCATATTGACCAAGTGCTCCGACCAATTTGAAGGTACTTTAGGAAAGCGACAAATGGACGACTACGAAGTAGAACTTCGTTCTGATGCTAAACCCTATCACGCTAGGGCTTACCCTACTCCACGTGTCCATACCAACACTCTTAAGACAGAGGTCGAACGTCTCTGCGACGCAGGAGCACTCAAGAAGGTAAACCGTTCCGAGTGGATGGCACCAACATTTATCATTCCCAAAAAGAATGGATCTATACGGTTTATCTCTGACGTCCGGGAACTGAACAAAAAGATTGAGCAAAAACCTTGTCCGATCCCAAGGATACAAGACATGCTACTGAATCTAGACGGATTCAGGAAATACGAATACCAACGAGTAACGATGGGCCTATGCAATAGTCCCGACATCTTCCAAAGGAAGATGGGAACACTCATGCACGACTTGGAAAATGCCCGTGCATATATTGATGATCAACTCATCCTAACTAACGGCGATCTAGTAGATCACGTGAATAGTTAGATGAAGTTCTCCTAACGGCTTCGAGAAGCCGGACTTAAGATCAATGCTACCAAGTCCTTCTTCGAAAGAAGAGAACTTGAGTATCTAGGCTACTGGATTACTTGAGAAGGAATCCAACCCGTAACCAAGAAAATAGATGCGATCCAGAACATCGCTCCTCCTACGAACAGGAAGAAACTTGGTAGATTCATTGGACTAGTGAACTACTATCGAGACATATGGATCAGACGATCACATGTACATACAACGTCGGGGATCCCAAGAAAAGGAATCTCTGTCCATTTCATTGCTTGACAATGATTGATCCCGTAACCGAATGGTTCGAGATTACCGAGACCTGCTCCAATGCAGCAGACGAAGTAGCCATCGTTCTAGAACAGACGTGGCTCACCCAGTATCCATGGCCTGCTGAGGTTATCATGGATAGAGAACGTGAGTTCCGCGCAGAAGTTGAGAAGACTCTCCGGGATGAATGTGGACTTCGTCGCAAGTTCATTACCACACGTGTTCAATCGTGACGCGATTCACAACGTCCGTTTCGAAGTAAACTGGAAACACATCAAAGAACGTCGCCAACGACTCATCCAGAAAAACAATGATAAGGAAAACGCGACGCGTGTCCCTCATCAATACAATGTCAACGATACTGTGAGGTTTCAACAGTATCAGCACCGCAAGTACGGTCAGCCAAAGTACAAGGTCCTTACAATATGGACCGAGTCAATAACAATGGCACTGTACGGCTCCGACATGCTACCGCCAATGGCGGCACAGTCTACCAGACTTGGAACATAAGGTATTTACACCCATACAAGGCCTGATCCCCTTGTAGGATTGCCATCGTGCGACGCACATGTCTACATCCAATCTCCGGAGAGTGCCCCGCACTTTAATTCATATGTTCTCCTTGTCCGACTGCTGTCGTGCCTTCTGTGACCCTTGTCAGGGGGCGAATGCAATACACGGCTCTTAGCCTTATTCGCGACTCGATCCTAGATAGGGTTTGAGTTCGACTCATGACGTAGTCCTTCGCGAATAGTCATTGAGACAGTGTTCTCATGACTGCTAGTCATACTAGGTTGTCGATGAAACATCGCTCTAGATATTTAGCCGGCGTGGAAAGCTTCCACGCTACTAGACAGCTACTAGCTGAAGTTTCCATGTGTTCCGGAAATGGACCATGGAGTACGTAGAGTTATTGCCATAACCTACGATATCACACTTCGAGGCCTCCCGCGGGAGACCAACTTCAATGAGCTTCACAACGATCTCTCTCATGGATTAGTTTTCGTAGCTTTCTAATCTCTCTCATAACTTTCATTCTCTCAAACTCAAACTCATAACTTTCATTCTCTCAAACTCAAAACACTCGAAAGATCTTTACACTAGCTTTTAGCGTAGTGCATTGCACAGAGCCTCCATCAGGCTTGTGAGCCTTCAATCCTTGGCCTCCACCTTCGTTCTTTGTCACTGTGCATGAATGCGAATGCAAGAAATGGATGTGAGAGCAGAAAAAAACAAGGCAGTGCCGGTATGGTACAAAGAAACTTACTGTCGGCCTTGGTTTCCGTGGCTTTCTTCCACTTCTTACGAGTATTGCCAATGGCATTCTGAAGGCATGCAGTACTATAGATCCGATATTTGGGATTGTCTTCCTTGATTTTGCTTGCAGTGATCTTTCTTCCGGCATCGCAATGATCGGACACCATCTTGTGCAATTCATCCTTGTCCTCCTGGAGAGCACCTTTCCAAGCATTGCAGAGTCTTGTGGGGTCATCATGTGCACCCTTTTCCTTGAATTCCACACTGATCTTGGCAAGATGGGCCAACATGGTGTCAGTGAGAGTGGCATCCGTCATGGTGGAAATTGCTGTCAAAAATTGCTGTAGAAGAACTGGACTGCTGTGGAAGATTGTTGTGCCAATGCATTGTGGGACGAGACTGCTGTGGGAT